GTACTTGCAATATATTCTAAGTCTAATATAGTTATATTTTAATATTTTTCTCAAGTTTTTTTTTGAATTTAGAAATTTTTAATGAAATTTTTGAAATAATGATAGATGAGAAAGAAGAACTATTGATAAAGATTTTTTCTTTATCTTATTTTATTTCAACAACTAAAATAACTATTTCTTGTTATAGGTTTTATATGAATATCTTGAATTGTTCAATATCTATTTTAGTAATTTCAAATATGCACATATGTGGGAAGATGGATATCTTGTTTAATTGCTACTATCAAGTTATAAAGACTTGAAATATATATATTAGGATTAATAAATTTTGAGGCAATTATTTAATATACAAAGAGTTATCTTTATTGAAATCAAAAGAACATTCTTTTTATTTATTCTGAATTATGAAATATAGTTATAAAAATATATAAATTATATGACTTATTGTTTGAATGACTTATAGTAAGTAATATACATTTTTTTATTTTATTATATTTTAAAATAACAAGATTTTAAAACAGTTAAATCAATTTTTTTAAAGTAAATTATTATTCTAATTTTTTTTTTTTTTTAATTTTTAAAATTTCAAGTAATAGAATATAAAGTATGCTAATAAAAGAATACAGATTAAATTCTATAAACTATATTAATAATTAGAAAAAGTCAAAATCTTCTTATACATATCTATATACTGTACAGTATATACAGGATATACATATGCAGCATATACAGTATAGTATACAGTAAATATCATGTACGGTTATGTTGCTTAACGCGGAATTTGTAAATTCAATTTAATAAATTTAATAGTTATAAAAAAGGGCGTTTGTTTAATTAAATATTTGATCATGAACTTTTTGGAAAGGAGACACAATCAAGGGATTAAATATTGTTGAATTCTAATGTGTAACCAACTCACTGCGGAGGTTTAGATACGTAATATAAGGCTTTCTGATCGAATGTTAGCCTCGTCAAACATGACTCTTCCACCTTCCACCTACCCAATTAAGGGAATCTTGTACTTTTTTACGAATTGGGCGTTAATTCGAAGAATCATATGGATATTATTCCTGACCTTGGTTTTTGTCATTCTCATAATTAGTTTGACCTTTGGTTTCTTACTCACATTGCAGGCTCATGGTTTAATAAATGCGGGCTGTCCCGTGTGGTTGGCATGGACAGTTGCGTCCATATTTTGTATAATCGAATCGATCCTTTTCACCATTATCTTTTACCTTATCGTCACACCGCTATATCAGGACACCTTGTTTGATGATGTTCTGAAGTTAAGAGTGCTTGAACATGTCCTGCGGAGACCGAGAAATATATCAGAAACGAGACTCTGTTTTCGCGGGATTGGATCAGGGATGTTGCTGGCGTTATTTCAGATATATGCTTTGGTGTTGGTACAGGTAGGTAACTTCGTTGAGGCCATTTGAAGTTCTCAATTTGAACTTTTTCTGACGCGCAATTGTTACTTTAAAAAAGGTAGCAACGCTTATTATCACCATTCCGTTTCATGCCATACCCATTGTGGGAACATTTATCTACTGCTATCTTAATGGGTGGGTAATGACATGGGGCCATCAATTGCACTACCATTTGGAAATAAAAGAACTAAGCATAAATCAATCACGAAAGTTAGCGTGGAGAAATCGCGATGATTACATTTTATTCGGAATGGTGGCCGTGGCACTTGAACTAATACCAATAGCGAATTTCATTTTCTTCTGGACAAATGTAGTTGGTGCCGCGTTATGGACGGCTGATGTAAGTACTTCAAGATTAACGGCTATATTACATCTCCAATTTCTTCTGTTCAAACAAATGCTGATTTAAGTTTCAACATTTAATAAGGTTCTTATCGAAGAACGCAGAGATGCATTAAACCGGTCAATTGGATTTACAGCCCCATTCTTGGACGAAGAAGCTGCCAGAATAGATTATCAAACTGTGCCGAGGATAGATGGTGATTCTAATACTCACTATGGGGCAACCTCTAGATAATATTCATTCGATCTTCGTCGCGTTTCTCCATCACCGATTCAAGACATTCAACCTTGTTTTCTCCTTCCTCAAAGCATTTTCATATTAACTGACCCAAGTTCGTCGTAACACGTTTAGCTTAGCCACATTTGTGTTACAATCTCTCCAGCAAATCCCACAATATGCAATCCATTTAAAATTTTACTCGGAATAAATTTGAAGTTTAATGTCCATAAATTTTAACTTGCACTAACAGTTCAATTTTCAAATTTTTTTTGTGTCAATTTGATTATCTGAGCATTCCCGTGCAACATATGAACATATGAGAACTTTTATTAGAAGATTATGACCTGATTTCTGTGTTTTTGAACGCGAAATTAAATAACAGGTGGTCTCCTTCTGTTCAGAGGGTTCTTACATTAATAACATCATCATGGAAACCTCGAAAGTGTGTTAAAAACACTTTGACTTTTTTTTCCTTTCTTTTACGTCAGCAATCAGCAAAAACGCGACATTTTTGTTCACATGAAACAACAAATACGATGATAAACCATCGATTTTATAGAAAAATTTTAATAAATCAATTGTACAGTACCACGTTTTTTCTCTCAATTCTTAAGTTGCGAATCCCAACACCTCATAATTATAGGAAGTAACTTCGCGACCATCACAAGCATATGACATGCCTTCTATCAAATGCTTTAAACATTAAAATAAAATGTCAGCTCTGTGGTAATTTTTTCGGGGAATAAATAAATACATCATCGAAAAAGAAATTGACATAATAACTTACCCTACCCGCTTTACCAATGTGTCCACTTGACTTTGCAATATATAGTTCTTTGCCATCCTATAAGATGTGAATTCAAACAAAAATGAACTACCGAAGACGTAATGTTCAAAAGTGAGAATTAAAAATAATCACCCTCTCATGACCAGCCTTTAAAGGAATGAAGAATTGTGGTCGCACCTCTCCAGCACTATTATACAAATTTATTTGATCAAAGAATCGCTTAAAAGGAGGGCGCAGTACAAAAAAAAAATATATATATATATATACTTACCATTGATGCCATGCGAAATGATTACAATCACCCGTGAGCACTTCATATTCACGGACACAATATTCTTTCCCGCCCCAACCGATAATGCATCCGCGTCGACCCGGATCAACGTATCCGACGTGCAATCCTCCTTCAAAGCATGCCCGAGCGATAGCACGACCTGAATTAAAATCAGCACCAAACGCACCGTGAGGAACGTGACCATCATGAGCTTTAACCCATTTGGCGGCCTGAGATTTTGAAGGAAAAAAGAATCCATCAGTGAACTACGCTGGGATGCAGCGGAATAAATTGATATCGATAACTGATTCTACCCAGTGTTCTTGCGCAACTGCCATTATTAATTCGGCTACGAGTGTTAAAGGTCAAAATTTTAGGGAAGAAGTCTTACGAGCAGAGGTGGGGGTTTTTTTTTTTTTTTTTGAGATCAGAAGGGTATTGTACCCTTTATATATTACATTCACACTTAGGAAGGCTTGTCCATATGGAGAAAAAACAGTATTTCGTGAGAAATTTCGAAGCGTACACGAATTTTCTTAAATAAACTCCGGAAATTTACTATTTTATTTCTATTGACAGGTGAAAATGAGCCATTCTAAGCCTTTTAAGAACAATCGGCATATCGGAGGATCGACTTTAAGGGAATCAAGACAGCGCCTAAAGTTCACCCTGCGATATGGGAGAGCGTTATGTGGTTGGCACAGGAGTA